AAAAATCAACTTCTTTCTCTTACATCTAAACAATCGACATAGGAAAACAAGTGATATTTAAGAAAATTAACAATTTAACAAGCTTACGGCAAAAGGTATATATACAGAGCAAACTATTTACATGTACAGGGCAAATGGTAAAGGAATACAAAATACACACATTATAGTTGTAATAAACACAATACTGAAGTAGACCCCTGGAGCAGCCATTTCATGGCAAGGTTATTAAATTAGCCAATAAGAGCTCAATTTATAAAATGAGGGCAAAGAAATTTAAGTCAACCAATCAATTTTTTTAATGGTATTTTTTAAATGAATTTTTGGCACTATTTGTGGATTTAAGAGGAAAGTAAGATACAACTATTGTAAATTATTGACAATAAAATGTGTACTTCGATGTCCTTGTTGCAGTCCTTGTCTAGCAGCAGATAACAGACAATAGGAAAAACAAAATAGCCCAAGGAAACAATTAATCACAGATTAATATGCAAGACCAATTTCAAATCACATAAAACTTAAGAACTGTAACTCTACAAGATCAGCAAATATGTACAAATTTGAAAGTTGTCAGTATATGTTTGCATAAAATATGAAGACTAACTACTCTGAGGGTCAAGAATGGTACAGTAGGAATATTATGATTAATGAAACAAGCAAGTTTAAATGGTAGGCAGTAAAGTTGGAGTGTCCATTCCACTTAACACTTAATGAAAAATAATGTTGTTCTTAAAAGTAAGAAATTGACTTGAAACTCAAGGCACATGGCTTATAAACTGTAATGTTTCTGTAAATCTAACTTAAAGTTCAAGGTTGGTAGTATGCCCAAATGCACAATTGTGTACAGTACGTATACAATCGTCATTCTTGAAATGAATGTTTAGAAAATAGAGAAATTGTCATACACAAAATACTTTTGAACAACAAAGGGTTACATTTGTATTTTTGAGCATGATGTGATATGCATGAGTTAGGGCACTAGCTTGGCCAAACCACTCAATCACATCAAAATAAAAGTTCATGTTAACAAGTTGCGAGGTCTCAATTAAAATATGTAGAGCAATTACCCTGGTCAGTCCACAAGGCAGGTTATTTCTGGTACATCTAGACAGCAGTGTACCTTGCAGTTATTTATTCACAATAACAAAATCTAGATTAAAATAACAATGAAATCCAGATTTTTAAAATACGTGTACTGTATTATTACTACAGTATATTCCACTTCCAAACGAAACAGTTCATAAGTAGGAGATTTCTACATGCTTCAAGAGCTATCTAATGGCATCCCACCAAAAAACCTTCAAAAGTGGATTGACAATTGGTCCCAAAAATTAAGAGGAAGATGAAAAGAAGCTGAATTTTCTGTATAGCCAAAATGAGGAGACTCTCATTGTACTGACAAGGAAGAAAAGTATTGGGTAGGAGAAATAACATTTCTTCAAGTATAAGTTTATCCAGAACAATCTGAATGAACAATTATCACAATCAATCATTTACACAAAACTATCATTTGGCACATGATACAATCAAAGTAAGGTCAAGCAACACCAATTATTTCTCCAACACCTTCTATTGATGGACCTTCATGCACTACTTGATTAATGTTTGGCAAGTCATCAGGTGATGAATCATCAGACTTTTCCGGGCTTTCCAGTTGTCCATCAGGATCACTGATGGCACTCTCAGAATCACCACTATCAATTTGCTCGTCGCAAGGATGAGCATCAGTGCTACCCCCAGCGTCCATTTGCATATCTTGTACCATAGCTACGGCCTTCTCTTTTTCCCATGGATCAAGATGCATTCTTAAGACGTGTGAGATACAGTCAGGTTTGGAGAAACATCTAAATTCACATATTAAACAACGGAAACGGTTGTAACTTATGTGCACTGTTGATAAATGTTGTCTTAAAGAAAAGGGAGACTTAAATTTCTTGTGGCATATAAGACAAAGTAACTTCCGTTTGGGTGCACTAGGTTGGGTTGATGCTCTGTGCTCACTTGGCGACAGAGATTCCCCTTCATTATTCTTAGAGTCAGACCACCTATTATTGTCATCCTCACTTTCATCTTCTGCACATAGAAGAGCTTCACTAGCTTTCCTTTTCTTACTTTCATTGCTTAGTGGCTTGTCCTTCACGTCATTAGAATCATCACTACCATCTGATATTGAAACTGGATGTGACTCTGTCAGATTAGTTCCATTCACAAGAACTACTTCAGGTCTGTGCTTGCGAGGCCTGCCAACTCTTCGTTTAACTGGTGGGTCACTCTCATTCATATCTGTGGTTTGAGATGCTGTTGATGGACGTCTTACACTTTTGTGATTTAGTTTACTTTGATCTCCATCATCAAGTTGGTTATCATGGTCTTTTGTCAGCTGTAGTCTCTTTTCTGAGTGTACACTTGTTTCTGTCTCACTACTTCCAGATGTTGTACCATCATCTGATCGACTGACTGATGCAGCACCATCATCAGATCTACTTGTTGAGGGGGTTCTAGTGCGACACTCGGGATTGTTGATATTTGTCTTCCCATAATCCCTTCGAATTTGAATTTCAATTTTCTTAGTTGGAGTTGGTTGCTTTTCTGCAAGATGGAGAGGGAGTACAGGAAGAACTGTACTTGCCCGAAAAGCTGATATTGCAGGAGACAAAGGACCTGGAGATGCTGCAGCTTTGCTGTTCTGAGTCTGGCGGCCAACAGTTGCTGGCTTCTCTAGCTGGACAGGTGTACGTCCAGGTCCAGATAAGTTCTGCTTGGAAGTTGACTGTTTATGACATGACTGAGAATGAGCAAGTAGTGCAGCTCGTCTATCAAAACGGCGACCACAAACTCCACAACACTGGCCGAATCCATCTTCATGGTGACCAAACCATTGCTGGAACACAAATGAGCAATCTAAATACACAAATTTCCATACTTGCTAACAATGACCCTTCCAAATTAAGAACAAGGAATTAATACAGTTAGCAAGCTTAGAAGTGATTTCTGTTTTACCTTGTAACTATCTTCCTCTGTGAGGGGTACAGGTTTATGATTTGTGTCATATATCAATTCAGATGGACAAAGGGGATTTTCGGACACATTTGATTTAGAAAGTTTTTGAGCACCACTCTGCAAAACTTCTCGCTTGAATGATCTTTTTATCACTTTCTCTCTTAATTTACGAATTTGCTCATTTGTTTTTCTATGCACTGCAACAAAATATTAAAGTGTTATCTGATATGTGAAAAAATTTGAAATTACAGATACTGAGATGTGACTTCCAGAATAAACTTAAAACATACCTTTTAGCAAGTGGCGATACACACTCCAAGAGTTTGAAAGAGGAAGCTTGCAACAAGGACATGGATAAAATGTGCGGAAAGTCATATGCAATGTTTTCATGTGGTGATTTAAACTTTTGTATGATGAAAAGTACTCTTTACCTGTAATAAAAATGTAGATACATAAAATATTAACAAAAGATGGAATAAAATGAATTGCCCTTCATGTGGATTTAAGTTTGACATACATAAGTTACAAAACAGCTCCACTTCTGATTCAGGTGCTGTAACAGGAGGGCCATTGTATTCTTCAGCATCAAAAGTCTTCATCTTTTTTCTCCTGTCTTCATGGTATATGCTACTGCTTTGAGTGGTACCATTTTCAATTACTCTACCATCTGGACCAAGGACAGCGTCTGTATCTGATATTATTCTATGGAGATCTTGGACCTGAAAAATGAAAAACAATTCTTATTGAAGTTTTACCAATATTGTGGCTAATTTTTGATCAAAAATTTACAAGATACAGTGTGTTAGATTATTTAATAGGATATTTCTTTCACATACAGGTTTTACCTTCTGAACATGTATGGGCATGAGATCAAATTATTACCTGAGACTTAATAAGCTCTGAAGAGCCAGTAGTCTGCACAATGGTCTGAAAGACTCCATAGGAAGTGTTTTCAATTGGCTGCAAATGGATTGTGTGTTGCTTTGCTTCTTTCTTTCTTTGATTCAGTTCTTTGCTTACATCATCATAAAATTCAGATGTGGATGATAAATGACTGGCCTGCAAAAACAATTGCATGAAAAACAATTTCAAAGTGTCACAAATTTAAAATATAGATAAAAATAGAATAAACTTACTGTTTCATTCAAGGTCTGCATTGAGTTCTTCTGCATAAGTTTTTCAACAATAGAAGTCAGATCCTTTTTTATAGTTATACGAAATGGAGCAGGTTCAGCTAGGCCATTTCTTGTCTTTGGTTCATATACTTCTTTAGCATCCCCAGAACTTCCAACATCACTTGTGCGCCAATGTTCTCTGGCTCTTGTGGTTCTGACAACTTCAGGTTCCACAATCACAGCAGTGTCATTAACCTGGAGGGAAAATCATACCGATAACAAATATTACTTGGTACACAAGACTACATGACAAAAATGAACTAAAGCTATTTTTATCCAGTAAAACATGTACATACCCTTTTATTGGATTGGGGTTTGAATAAGTTATTTTGAGAATTGCCATGGAGTTGAGTGCAATAGACCCTCTTGTGTGAAATAAAGTTTGCTAAACTACGAAAGAGGTTTCTGCAAACTTTACACTCATAAACTACATCACATTCATAAGATAATAGATGGTGTAGCTAGAAATTAAATAACCAGATATTAATATTATTTCGGGTCAAAAAGTAGAGAAGACCAGCTAGGCAGAAAGGAGGTTTGCTACTCACTTCTGGTGGTGAATTCTCAAAGACCTTTACCAACTCACTTAGTCCAGTAACACTAATCTCAACAGGCTTCCTCAGTACAGAAAAATCTGGGCCCTTGGGTGGCTCCTCTTTCTCCTGTACTTTAGCCTTCCCATTTTGCTTGAAAGGACGTCCAGCTTTGGTGCCCGTTTTTGCACCCATTCTGCGCAGCCTGAAAGGATATAAAATGGTAAAAGCAGGGAATAGGTAGTCACAGTTTATGACATGAGATTTAAGTACTCCAGCACATTGAATACTGTTTCAAAGCTCAATGAAAAGAAGTTTGATGATTTCAAGAGTCTTTGCAAATGTAAAATGCTTCCTTACATGACGTTTTAACGAGATACTCAATAGAGCATTTGCAATGATGCAATAATTCCATTTCTCTTACATAAAGGAAGAATTAGAAGTACTACTGGGTACAGAAATTGCAATATGGGCCATATAGATGGCTGAAGCAAGTAGTGAGGAGAAATTTACAGCATGAAAAGGACACACTAAACTCACCCGAACTGATTTTTAAAAGAAAAAGGTTAAGGGAGTGGAACAAGAACGAATTATCAAAGCAGTTCACTTATTTTCCCCCTACCAGCATTATTTTGACATTGAAAATACTATAGGCATAACTATGAATAATACAAAATGGCTATATTTTAAAAGTAACATGCATTGTGGTATTTCATAAGAAATGGAAATTGAGAGCAGAGTAGAGACAGATAACATGCTTCCTTCTTCAGCCAAATCCTGAAGGAACCTCAAGAAAGTAAGAGAACAAAGATTATTCTACAGTTTATGTAAAACATATACTACCCATAAAAAAAATATTTAATAAAGGTGCATCAGTAGGATAATCATAAAATTGAGTGAATAAATTGGTGACCAGGGACTGTCTGACCAACATCTGGAACTAGTTTCAGACATTGTGTTCCCATTCCTTTACACATGCCTCATGCTCAAATACTTACTACCAATTTATCTCAGGACGCTGAGGAATGATCGGTTGTGTGCTCCATATCTTTCCTCAGACATATTAATTCTCGGCAAAGGCTCTTAACACAATGGCACGAGCAGACCCCGTTAGGAGGTCACCATTCCATCTTTCTCTGTATGTTAAATACTTTACAGTGCTTTACCTCCACCCCTTGCTCCAAATAGCACATGCTCTCATAACAAGATTATAGTTACCTCTAATGCACGTCTAGAATTAGTTCCTTGGTTAGAAAGGTAAGGAATAAGCGTTTCAAATTCAAGCTAACATCTCGCATCAAGCTTCCTCCATTTTTTGCCTTTCTGCGGGAGAGAGAGATGGAGACACTCCGCAGATGTTGTGCGGTCTTCTCGTCAGATGGCAGCACTCTCTATTCGTTACGGAAGCCGATCGTCATTTGACAAAACTGGCGAACGACAGTCGGTATCAGAAAACTTGTAGCTGACCGGCCAATCACACAATCGTCAAAATGTGCAGTTGAGTGAAGCGATGTATGAAATTTTTGGGTGCATTGAAGCATTTGTTGAGGGAGCTAACTCTCATATTGTTTTTTTTCCTACTTTTTGGGAATTGACGCCTGCAACTGAATAGCAATTGATGAAGATGATATCACGGCCGACATTAAATGTACTGAGGGTAAGTGCCCTTACTCTTTATTTTACGTTAAAATTTGAACCCATGTTATTGTTAGGTTAGCTACCTAAAACATTTCAAATTATGTAATATTTTAGAAATCTGAAGAATTGCTTTTTAGACTGGACTGACATAATATTGGTATTATATTTGTATAATTTTTCTCTTTTATGTTTAAGCTTCTTACGCCCGCACATCAGTATTTGTTCAATCCATTTCTTATGGAGAAATATTGCGCTCCTATCCTAGTCAATAAAATTCAAGCAAAACTTTTATCATCACAACCGCTAGAAACAATAAAGGATACATGGCTCTCAACCAAAATGATGAACACCCGTTTGCGTTTAGGCATGGCACCAAGACCAAACCCTGTAAGGAATGCAACGCCTCAAATTTCATTCTCAAGTTTAAATTTTTTTTTTCTTAGTTTGATTTTGTTTTTTACAGTACTATCGTCTTAGAGGTTTGATTCTTTTTCAAGGGGTTGAGGCTGTAAATTGGAAGGACTATTTTAAAAGTAAGAGGTATAGTTAAAAATGTGAAGTTCATAGGTAAGTTTCTTCATTTTATTTAATTGGTTTTTGCAAATGTTAAGTTTTTCAGATGGAAGACACATTTCATTCATGGTTTTTAGTAATTGAACTCCATATGTGGATGTTAAATGTCAGAATAGCCCGTGAAAAGAAAGAGGGTGACATGATTAAGAAGTATTCCATGGAGCACATGTGGGACGCTGCCCAAGCAAGAGCCAAAAAGCTAGAAGTGAGTTAACTTCTGTGTCATGGGGAACCGTCTCTATATCTTCATGTATTGTGTTTTGTATGTGTTTTGTCAACTCATCGTCACTACTTTAATAGAAAGTTTCCTTCTCATACTAGTCTTATGCACCATCTGCAATGCAAGACGGCTTTGAGGCTTTGCATGAAGAACTTATTGCTGCATTTTTATTATACGATCATGGACTTCTTACATCAGATGTAGAACTTGCTGGAGCTCTCTATTTCCGTTTCTTACAAGAGAAATGTGATGACCCGGAAAAGCTAGAGATCTTGGTGAAACACGTGAGAAATCAGGTACATAGATCACAGGTATCATTTACTCACTAAGTCAGTATACTTGAAAATTACATTATTGCTTATCTTTTCTTTTCTTTTTAAAATATATTTTAGATACATCTTCTAGACGATTCGTCAAAAGAAGAAATTGTGGATAGAGCAAATGTTAAATGGCTGCCTATATCTGAAAAATTATAGAAATACATTTATACCATAGGACTTTTTCCAAATTGTCCTTTTGCAGTGTGAAAGGATATTGGCTGTAAGATAACTTTTTTATAATATACTTGAAACTTGAAATTGCATTCTAGGTGCAAAATAAGTACATTGTTATCTCCTTTTATTTAGGAACTTTTGGCAGTGATCATTCTGACCAGGCACGGTTTTTAGCGAGTTGCATATAACCCTTTCTGCACACCACTGATCACATCCTCTTCGGTGGCTGGGATCACTATCCAACATGTGAGACCTGGATAGGGCAAAAAGGAACAATAGGAAATTAAGCAGTATAAATGTGGATGATTCATCTTCAAATTTTACAGGGGAACATTTTTTAATTTACCAGTAATATTTCTGCAACATTTGTCTGTCTGTAGCTAGACTTCCTATAAATGTTTCCAGATGAACAGGATGCATGGATTTCACTCCAAATGTCTCTTTAAAAGAGTAGATACGATACCAGTCTGGCCTTTTATCTGGGTTTTCATTTGCATGTGTTAAATTAAATCCCCAGAGTTCTGCGTCTATTACATCCTGAGTGAAGAAAGATAAACAAGATAAAAGGAATTAACTTGTATGTTATTCTTCACTTACATGTACAATTGTACTGTACACATGTACTAACCCATGTTGCTTGCTCATTTTTGCCATCGACCAGGTATAGTTTGTAATTGGGGTTTACATCAGAATACGTTGTAAGAGAGCCTCCATTGTATGCTACATTATTAGGCCGGCCGTTCTGATCATAAAACAGAACCAAGTCATCAACATGTGTGTGTCCATTAAAATGAGCTGATATTGTCGCTGAAAATCTGAAAGGGAAAGTATTTTAAAAGAATAAAAAAATAAGTAGACTTGATACTATAGCTATTGATTTTGTTTTACTAAAAATTAACCATCCCTCTGATTTTATAATGTAGGGTATTTGTTACCTGTCAACAATTTTTGCAAATTCACGAGACCAGGATTCAAGACAGTCTTCACTTCCAGCTGGGATATGGGAAAGAATGTGTACTTTTTCACCAGCTTCCTCAGCCTCCAACAACACATCAACCAGCCAGGCTAACTGACCAGAAGGGTCCACAGGATTGTGCAAAACCCACCTAGAAAGACTCATTTATGTATGTATTATGCAAGCATGTGCACATTGCCATTTATAGTTTTTAGAAATTGACGGTTTGGAATTAACCTACCAGTTCATTGGGTAGCAGTACATGTTGTTGAGCGCAACCACGCGAAAACCTGGCTCTACCAGAAGCGTGTAAAAGCCACCTCTCATGATTGTGTCGCGAGTTGTCTCGGGGAGCCACCTGGTCTTCTTGATCCACACGTCGGCCAGCACCTCGTAGAGCCAGCGAGAAGAGAGCACATCGTCCGTGATGTCGGATGGGGCGAAGCTGAGGACCAGAGAGAGGTCAGTGCACCGCCGCCGAGGGGAACTAAACTAGAAATTCAAGTTCACATCAATTTCTCTGTTTCTTCTTCACTTGAGAACAGAAAATATTCTGATATGTTCTATTTTTTTTTAATCTGATATTTTCTGATTTTTCCTTGTTTTTTTTTCCTTCTGAATTTTACTTGTTTATTTTTTGAGGGTGTGGACTGATTGTTTTGGGGGGTGAAGTACCCCTTGACCGTCGCACCGGCTCCCTAGTTTTACCAGTTGAGAGGGTGGGGCTCATGGTTGCCGACGATGGGCAGGACGCGCACGTCGCCGAAGGCCTGCTTCATCGAGGCGAACGTGTTGCGGAGGATCTGAACGTTGGTCTCGCGGCTCGTGTCCCACACGCCGTGGTCGATGACGTCCCCGGTGAAGTAGATGAGGTCCACCTTCTGCGACGGGACAGAGTCGTGAGTGTGCGGTGCGGCGCTCGGCCGGGGCTAGAGCCGGGGCGCCCGCCGACGGGCGGGTAGGCAGCCCGCTGCACCGCCGTGCGCGACCATAGGCCCCGGCGGCCTACCCTGTACCCTGAGGGTCGGTCGGTCGGGTTACTCACGCCGTCGGCCAGGTACTTTTCCTGGGTGTGCTTGATGAAGTCCTCCACCGTCTCCCAGGGGATGTCGCAGGCGCGGTAGTTGCCCCACTTGCCGGCGCGGTCCTCGGGCCGCTTGGCGTCGCCCTGGGCGCGGCGGCAGCAGGTGGGCTCGCCGCAGCGGATGGTGCCCTCCGGGTTGTACGTGGTGTCCCAGTGGTAGTCCGTGATCTGCAGGATGCGGTACGGCTCCACCTCCGGGGGGGTCGTCTGGGGGCAGCATGCAGGCTTTAGGCAGGGCGACTCGGGTGGTGCCGGGTCCAATGGTGCACTGCTCACCAAGTCCAGGATGGTGCCGTGTATCTTGCCCGGGGGCTTTTTGCCCATGGCTTTGTCGAGGGTCCACTTGATGGCCGGGGTGCCGTCCGCGCACTCCCTCATGATGGTGCTGCACGCGAAGGGGCCGTCCAGGGTCTTGGTGTTTCTCACGACGTACTCCACTATTTCCTGCGTTAAACAAATACGCAGAAAAAAAATGTGAGCGCCGCCGGCACGCCACTCAGCCTTAGACCGACGTCGGACAGTGTTTCTTTTTTTTTTTTTTTTTGTGACATGTTTGGTTTGATTAGTCTTGATTAGTCCGAAGGTAACCAGTGCACATGGCACGTTCCAATAATCTGAATACTCGAGGCCCCCCAGGTGAATCGGGTGTTGTGCACAACTGTTGCGATAGAGAACGCCCTGGCGTCCGAGGCTAGATAAGGAATTAGCATGAGCGACTAATCGTCGCGGGGGTGTGAACGGTGTAAACACGACCCTACTGGACCCTACCAGGTTGGCCTTGATCATGCCCCTGCAGATGTGCGGCGTGATGACGTTGGCTCGGACGCACAGCTCGATGACGAGCTCGCCCAGCGCGTCGCCCGTCTTGTTCTGCGCGCGGATGGCGTGGATGACGGCGCCGGCCGCGGCGTTGCACAGCCGGCACACCCTGGGGGTGCGCGCGTCGGCGCCCGTGCTCTCCAGCGAGAAGAAGGTCATGCGCTCGGGCAGGCGGATGTCCTCCATGACCCGGTTGAGGCGCGCGTGCGCCGCCGACACCTCCGCGGAGCGCCGCGCCCTGTGCGGGCCCGTGCCCGTGCCGCGGGCAGCCTCCAGGGCGCCCAGGGCGTCGATCAGGTCCGTGGTCGTCCTCGCGAGGTCTGGGGGCGAACGCGAGCCGTGATGAGAGCGGCAGCCTGGCATCACCCGGGGTGCACCTGTCCCACACAGTGTCCCACACACTCACCCTCCGTGTGCTGACCGAAAGAGTTGACCCTCAGCGGCTTGCCCGGGACCTCATCGCTGCTGGAGTATCCTACAAGACGGGAACGACGCTCGATTCACATCATCACCGTGCTAGCTAGTCCCGTCGGACTCAACTGTTGCTGGCCTTTTGATTTGGAGGTGAGAAATATATCATTTCCAGAGCCAGGTTACAGACCTGCGAGGGCGAGCGACGAAACGGCAAAGATGACCACGAGGCGCTCCATCGTGCCCTGCGCCTGTGGTGGCACTCAACCAAAAGGGGTACAATGGCTACGAAATCAGTGCTACTGGGATTCTCATAGCCCCCCACTTAAAGGGAAAGATTGGCATGAGTGGTGTTGAGCTCTTATCTGGCTATCTTGCCGTGACATTTTGTAGCTCTATCATTGTCACTAGGGAGGTGCTTTGTAGGTATCCGAAAACAGAGGTCGATTTAATTTTAACTTAGTTCATGGAATTTATTTTAATTAACAACTGTACAATTCACCTCAAAAAATTTGAACAAGTAACCAATTTAAGAAGCCATCCCATCCCCTTGTTCACCCTCATTTCCCTCATCACCCTCCATTGGATCATCTTCAATTTGCAGATCATCTAACATTTCTTCTAAGGTAATGTGGGGAGCATTGGGATCCACTTCATCAGCATCCACTGGGATGTTGATATTGTTGGGATCCTTGAAAATGTTCACATTTTGACGTAGTTCTGCATCTTCTTCAAGATCATCCAAAAACTCATTGTAATCCCTAGGATTAAAAATAAATGAATGGAAAGTTAGCTTGCAGTTTAGGTAAGAGTAGTTTAGTATTCTTAAACAGCTAAATTTAGGAAGTTTTACTTACTTGTTGTTCTCTACAAGCATGCCCTCGTCGGTCAAATGCTTCAGCTTCCAGCGCCTCCTCTTTCCAGAACGATCTCCATAGTGCTTCTTCACAATGATTACATCCGGAATTTTGTCTCGGTCCAATTTATCAAAATTTGAATCATTCACATTGCTATCAGCAAGGCAATAACTGAAATTTGTTTGAAATTTTTAGAATTTGTAAGAATTAAGATAGATAGTAACAGTACTACTTATGAACTGTACCATACTTACGCCATTACTGAATCTCCTGGCTTAAGCAGGTGACCAAGGTGAGTTCGTGTATGTATTAAATCTTCATTAATTCCAAGCTCAGAAGCTTTGACAAGCCAGGCATCAGCCAAAACATGCTTCAAAAATCAAAAGAAATTAGTTATGAAATGACATGGATCACAAAAAAATATTTTAACAGTAGAGTGAATATTACCTTGGTGGAAATTGGTCCTTGCCCTGGGAATGTTTTCCTGTCCTTGGCCAAAATTATTTCCAGTTCCATCACAATGTACTCACTCAGCTGCTTAGGATTGCAAATTGTTTTGAAAGGATAACGCCAAAATAAATTTGAATTCATTTCTGCCACTGAAACAATAAAACAAACACAGAAAACATTATGCAAATTCTTAATTTTGCTTTTCAAATTACATATAAATAAGATACACAAGATAGATTAGATAAAAAAAAAACTTACTTTGAGCAGTAGCTGGGTCGATAAAGTGAAGAGTGTTAGTGACACGATGAACTAAGACAAGAGGGCTTACACTACCTAGCTGATGAGTTAAGTTTTTGGGAAGACAAACCAAACTGTCTTTGGAGAGGGGAACTATCTCAACGCTGTAACTGAATTTGTAGTTGTAAGTATTGCTGTGAATGTCATGAGATATCAACTTTTTTGAGTGTTCATAACGAATTGGCAAAACAGTAGTAAGAAAATCTACCATTTTACGAGCATGTGATTGAGTATGGTAATAGAAGTCCAAGCCCTCTGAAAAAATTAAAAACAAAATCAAATCAATGCACTATGTAAATGTAGAGAACAAAAATAAATAGAAATATTAACTAAAATAATGATGATTAATTTTTTTGTTGTTGATTGTTTACCTGCAATTGGTTTGATGCCAAGAGTATTCTCATGAGCCTTGTGCTTAAGGATCAGCTGTTCCAAATAATGGAAAGTTTTCTTGTTCTCAGCTTTTTGTCTTACTTGAACCTATCAAAGGAAAGGGCAATTATTTCAAAAAATTGGTGGTTTTAAAAATATATTAATTTTGCAATTTCATATCTAGTATAATATACCATAGCATGCCAGTAGTCCTGTGCCTCTTTACGGTGACAGTCATCACACATCTGATGAGCAACAGTGAATTCAACAATAAAAACTTGTTGAAGAACAGTTCCTCCCATAACTTCACCATGAACAGTCAATTTCACCTTGAGTAAAAATATCAAAGTTACAATAATTGACAAAAAAATATTACATGACCAAAGAATATCAGAAAGTTCTCCACCTTGATCCTTTTGGAGTGAGGTTCAGTCCAAACAAATCCGGCATCGATCAGCTTTACCCGACTCAGACCCTTGAGTTTTTTCAGACAAAGAGAAAGTAATTCACGTGACTCCAGTGCAGCATGAACATAATCATTCGGAGGCTGCAGGTACCTGCAAAGTTACGGTTCTTTAACATACACAACAGAACCTTGAGGGTACTTCATACATTAAAAATCAACGTACCGTTCACATCCTTTGCAGAAATGGAGAGTGCCTTGTTTAGGAATGCCCTCTGTGATATCCACAACAGTACGAAGGCATGCCACACACATATTTGCTGGGTTTGGCTCTATTACAACTCCACACTGACAACATAATCTGTAAGGGGTAAACTTCTAAATCACAAATCGAATACCAAGTGACTGTCTAAGAAAAACTTGAATAGTAAGTTAAATTGAGTTTGACAGTGGTTGTTCCACGATTACGATTGCACCACTATGAATGTGCCTTTTAACCTATTTGAGTCATGAGGGTGTAACGTCAAACTTCCAAAACGATGAAATCACTTCACACTACGCTTACATTTTCCCAGCGTTGTTCTCAACCTGCTCTTCTTTAATGTATTCCATGTTGAACCGACCAGCGTCACCACTGGTGCTGGGATTTTTGGCTGAAATAAGCCAGAGTTGAGTGGCACGTTTCACGTGTGTTTTGGATTGAAGAAACTGACTTTGGAAGTTTTCATACTCACTATAGCAGTTTCTGACATGTACGTTTTTCATGCTTTTTGATGCACGCGGTTTTGTGGTTATGAAATGTCTTCAAACACAAATTTGTTATGAGTTGAAAACAATTTAGGAACGATTTTGGTGTTAACATCTACTTGTCAGGAAACACAATGAACTTCTTGTCGAACTTGTCCAAAGTACCAAATATTCCTTCGTACTTGCTCGAACTCTATGGTATGGAGTTATGTGATTAACCAAATCATAGACTGAAGTGCTACATTTGCTGAAAATTTTATGTGAATTCTGTTTTATTAGGTGGTGTTCGATTTGCATCTAAAAAGACTTCTTCTGGAGCTAGGTGGCAAGGGAATGGCAAGAAACCGAAGAGGTACAGAGGATTGAAGAGAAAGGATGGTGACGTAGTGACAGCGGGAACTATTTTAGCTACTCAGATTACTCTAAGGTTCTTCCCTGGTCTGAATGTACGCATTGCCTTGTAAAAGTTCTATAGCATTAGATATTTAAATAATTTATGACACTTTCTTTAACTTGAATAAAGAATATGCATTAATATTCGTTCTATTTGCAGGTCGGGTTTGGTAAAAATGGATCTATATTTGCCATCAAAGCTGGCAAAGTAGTAATGTCATCAGAACTAGCTCAACCTAATTGGGATCACACTTGGATTCAACGTCTCATGCCAAGACGTCCAGACAATATCCCAATTTACAAGAAGTATATCAACATAATCCCAGAGCCCCAGCATAACCGCTTCAAACTTCTTGAAGCACTTTGATGTTCTGTGCTAGTTGCTGTAGATTGTACATTCAGCATTCTGAACTCTGGTCCAGGTAATTTTGTTAATAAATTGTTTATTGTAGTTAAATGGTTGAAACTTTGGGTGCATTGTTTTTAAAACAGCATACTCTACTAACTTAAAACACATAGAAAATCAAACCTTTTATTTTTCCAAAAAATGGAATGTGTAACATTACAAATATAACTGGATTGGTAACAAATTAGAATATATAACAAATTGATCATATTTACAAATTTAAGGTACTGTTAGTCTCTCTATGATCGCCTTGGTTTTACATTTCTTCTTATGAAGTCCTTTGTTATAAACTGAGATTGACTTTCCAAAATGCCAAAATTACATGAATGGGTTAAACCTAAATCCAGGAAAAAGAATTAGTTTATGGCTACAACGTTTATAAACAAGGAAATTAGTATAATGTCCGCGCTACTTACCAATGTGTTGATTTAGGAAGCGGAGTATCAGGGCATGATTTAATCTTGAGGCTAGGACAGGATCTATCTTTTTCATGAACCAATCTAGCCAATAACCAACAATATGAACTGTATCAGTTTGATTTTCATGAGTTGTCATTCTGTATGAACGTAACACGGAGGTTAGATTAAAACAGTGCTTTCTCATTCATATTCTGACATCATGAATTTTAAGTCTCTCACCTTATGGTGTATAAATGGCGCTCTGCATCTTGCGGGTGATCTATGAACTTCTGCATGGTTGTAATATTGCTGTCAATATGAAAAGTTTCTGTATTGATGAAAATAAGAGGTTGTTTAATGCTGCCTGGCATATCTGGTTCATCCTTCAGGGTGTACATCCAAGAGTCAAGAATAACTCCATATCTACACAGAATTTTTTTTAAAAATGAGGTGATTGCATGGAAACTAGAAAGTGTAGGCAGATGTCAAGATGTACAACAAGTGTTACTCACTTGAACCTATGATCTTTGTAGAGTGTCAGTAAGGCCGATGCCCCTCCAAATGAGTGACCCATCATAACAGCTTTCTCGAAATTCAGCTGACCCTGCAAACATACAAGACATAAAACAATTATTATGCCATATACTAACAAGAAAAATAAACAAGTTCCTTACAATCATAAAATTAAAAATAAATTCTACCTTGAATGCATCCAATGGGAAATTATCTGTAGCTAAGTTTTTGATGTTTTGTCCAGCATTTATATGCTCAAGAAGATCTAGTGTTCGACTGCATTCAACAGCTCGTTGTCTTACCTGTTCAGGAAGTTCAACAGTACAAGGAAGGATCGAATCAAATGAAAGTGATTGATGGCTACTAATCAAACAGCTAGATGTTACAATTACCTGTTTTACTCGAGCAGGAAAATTTTCAAGACCAAAGCCCATTTTGTGGTGTTTAATCCATGTTTTCTTAGACTGCAAATGATCTTGGGGAGAGGCATAGTAATATGTAGCACATGCCGAAGTATCTCTGTGCTCAAGAGCAGCCACCACAAATCCTTGAGAAGCAAGTTCAGTATAGGTGCCGGAATAGAAAAATTTGCATGCACCAAGCCCGTGTGAAAACACAACTACAGGAAATTTCTCCTTCTGTTTACATAATGGTGCTGCCCAAACAGCTGGGATGTATGGAGTCCCTGTTGATAGAATTAATGGATTTCAAACGGGAGTAAGCAAACAATTTCTTTGACATTATTTTTTGTCTAAGAAGATACTACTCACAAAAATTGAACTTGAAAAATAAATTAAGACTTCTTGGTATTACCTGACACTAGCCAGACATACAAGCGGAGTACAAAATAATAAACTCCAAGAATAAAAGCAAATCCTCGTGCGTATATTGGATGGTCTATCCAAGGGACCCATTTTTCTTCTACAGTCTACAACCAAAAATAAATGATAAGTATACTAAGTATAATAAAATATATCATACCTCAAATTAAGAAAACACAACAAGAAACTTACCTTTTCCAATGAAGATGGATAGAAGAGCCTGAAGAAACATCCTTCAGGAGAATATTCTGTCATCACATCTATACATCCAGGAATGTATGGGCCTAGGCAAAATCAACAACCAAAAATATTATAAAGAGCTTACTTTTTAACACCTTGAGTCCTTGAGAAATTGCGCAGGGTGGTGTTCCCCATCAAGGCATGGCCACTGGTTTGTAAACCACGATTAATTTGTTAAAAATTTCAGATCAGTTAGTAACAAAAGTGTAAAGTCATCATGATCAATTTTCTCCAAGGTTATGGCAGCGTTACTTATATTGTACAAACACAGTTTAGATTTTGGGTGGAAACGCATTGAAAAGATAGCGCTGTTGCTCAAGCCCTTCAAGTCAGATATCACAAGCCTCTTAGCAACTAAAGCTCCATGACTTGACACATATTCTCTTACCTTCTGGCTTCGGCAGAGTACATGCTTTTCTTTCCCAAAACATGTTTGACTTGCTTGACTTGCTTCAGGAACACAAGAAAGATGTGCAAGTGGCAGCTGTCAGAGAATAAATATATATATCACAGTCTTGTCATCTTCTCAACCACTTAGTCAGCTGATTGTGTTGTGCTGGTTGCGCACCGCACTGTTGTCGCTTTCTACAAGACACGAAGCAGAGGTCGTCGCTCGGGCTCGGCGCTCGCGCTACATTCCCTCCCGCCTGCTGCTGGACTGGTTCGCGCGCTGCATTCAACTGATTCAAGTTGCGGCGCAGGCGAAGGCCAAAGGCTGGAACTTGAGAAAGGCTGGTTCTGGCCCTTCCAGCTTCCGCCTGTTGTCCGAGAGTAAGCGGCTGGACTCTGGAGGCGAGGGCCAGGTCAGTCACTCTGGAGCGGACCGCGACCCGCCTCCAGCTGCTGCAGCGAGCTCGGGGTACTGTGTGTGCGAGGCTGAGGCTGGTTGTGCAACTGCGAGCGCAGCCGAAGCTTTACCGCCGACCGAGCCCGTTGGCCTACTCAGGCAGGTGCTCTCGTGTGGCGCGGCGCTGCTGCGCGGCCGGTGCGAGAGAGAAGAGAGTGAGAGCAGTGACCCCCCTCCCCTCCAGCGGGGCCGCGACTGATGAACACACACCGCGCCCCGCGGCCCCCGCGGCCGCACCTCCGCGGTGGGTATCTCCAGGTCAGGTCTTACTTCACGGAGCCTCCGCTGCTGCTGGTCATCGGGCGGGGATGACCCCGGCGCCCCCCCCCCCCCACAAGCGCGCTGCAGTATCTGCTGCATCCCGGCGGGTTCTTCCAGAACAACATCCTCTTATTCATGGGTGGATGGAGATGGAGATTCTCGTGGCGCGCCGGCCCTCCCGCTTCCGCGAATGACCTCACGACATGACACCCATTCAACATCAGATGGGGCTCCCGGTCACTCATTGGAAACGTCAGACTTGACACGATCTTTCTCCCTTCCATCCGCAGCTGCAGCAGTTGCCCCGGCAGGCTGGGGACTGGTTTCAGTGGTTCGAACGACGGACAACATCTCGGCAATTAGCGAGGCGACAAGACGGCGGCTCTGTCGAGAGATAGAGAGGTATCTCAAGCTGTTGTATAATAGCTTCTTCCATTTATACCCTCGCGTTCGACGCACTCTACTGGTGTCGCACCGAGCAGCCTATAAATACATCACCTTCCTTCTTCCTCCTGTTGTTCGTCTTCAAGCTTGATATTTTCACCTATCCACATCTCCATGATTTTCTTCCTTTTTCGTAGCTCTACCTTGGTATCAAGGTCCATAAAGATGACTTCTGCCTCGCGAAACAGCCGTCGCGCGTGGTGCACGTTTTCCTGCAAAGTTGGCGTTTTAAAGGGTTCAATTAACAGGCATGTGGTTACTTTTGCCAGCTTTTGCACTGCAGCAGCATAGCTTACCCTGGCGCCACCCCTCCTGGCCCTCTCCAGCAGGAGCCCCAGCAGGCGCAGCAGCAGCGACCCCCTCAGCACGCTCAGCCCCGGCTCCAGCACGCTGACCACCTCCAGCATGTCGACGCACATGGCCGTGGCGCGCTCGAGGCGGTCGTCGCTCACGGCTGCAACACGCCGTCGACAGGTAAGAGTTGGTGTCCGAGACCACGCCGCCGCGGAGAGGTGACTCGCGGCACGTACCCAACGCGGGCGTGCACCCCGGTATGAAGGCGTAGGCGCCGCCGAGCAGGTCGTGCTTGACGCGCAGGATGTGGGCGGAGGTGGCGTGCAGGAGCCCGCCCGGACCCAGGTGCTCCGCCAGGAACGCCTCGGCCCTGGCCGGATCCCCGCCGCCGCCTCCGTTCAGCGCGTCCACCTGGGCTCGCAGGCGACGGTGCCCCAGCAGCATCTGCTCCGCGGACAGCGTGAAGGCGCAGCGAGGACAGCGCCAGTCCGCCGCGCTGTCCAGCGCCGCCGTCGAGACCAGCAGGAGCGGAGTGCCTTAGAAGTTTTCGTGGATTTATTATTGATCAAATTTAAGTTTCGAGGAAGCACCCTATCTCCCCAAGATCTCCCTATCCTATTATCGCGCACCTGCCCGCGGCCTGCAGCGGATGCAGCGGATGGAGTCCAGGTGCAGCCCCAGGTCCGCGGGGTCGCTGCACCGCGCGCACGAGCAGTCGAAGCACTTGGTGGCGCGCAGGTGGCGGCGGCGCTCGAGCGGGCCCCGCAGGCTGTCGGCGTAGTACGAGATGCAGACGACGTCGCCCGGGGCGATGTCGCGCTGCGCCAGGACCCCCAGCTCCAGCTCCCCCAGCATGGCGCAACGGGCGTTGGCTTGGCAGTCGTGCGCGAGCATGGACACGGAGCCGAACAGCGCCCTGGCCTGCGGGGAGGGGAGGGGGGGGGGCTGCAGCTGAGGCTAACGTGGCAGCTGCGGGCAGCTGTTTCCACGCGGGTTTACGTAAGACGGACCCGTGTGTCGCGCACCGCAGAGAAAGGAGAGGAAAATCACAAGTTCGATATTGACACCGTTGAAATTACCTCCACGCCGTCGCGGCCGACGTCAAAGGCGTTGGTGTCCAGGACGGCAGCCATGCGTAGGGCCTCCTCCTCGGGGACGTCCAGAACCCGGGCGACGAACCCCGCCGCGCGGCGCTGGAGGCCCTGGCCGCGGTACGCCGCCGAGGCGCGCGTCCTCTCGCCCAGGTGGGACTGGAGCGCGCGCACTGCGCGGCCCTCGAGGCCCTGCAGCTGCAGGCACCGCAGCGGCAGCACGCCCGCGTACCAGTGCGCGGGCGGGGTGCTCGCGGGCCGCGGCCGGGCGTCGTCCGGGGCGGCGGCCAGGGCGACGCACTCGTCGCGGTGCCCGGGGGCGCGCCCACACGCCGCGGAGCACAGCGGCCACCCGCAGCCCTCGCACGCGTATCGGGGGCCGGGGCCGAGGGGCCGGCAGCAGCCCAGGCACACCGCGTCGCCGGTCGCCTTGGGGCCGGCGATCAGGCTCTCGCACCGGAGGAAAACGTCCCCTGCGGGGATGGACCTAGTGGCCACCAAGTGCCTGCCCAGCGTAGCGTCCACGGCCAGGCGGCACGCGCCGGGCGGGGCCTCGCGACGGAGCAGCTCGTCGAAGACATCGCCGCCGTCAGACTCCATGGCACATCAAGCTGTAAAAGAGAAAAGATGCTTAGAAATGGATTGCATCAACTCATACTTCCGCCCAGGTTTTCGCCCCGGCCCGGCGGTCTTTCTCTCTTCGTCGAGCGATTCCGGCGCCCTTTCGCTGACCTACGGTTCGGACTGGTCCACATCTGTTTTTTTCGTTTTATCTTTTTAGCAACCCTCAGAATCACGACCGATCCAACCGGTTTGGATTTTCTCGTCGTGGTGAGCGACCGGTGGTGGGCCTGGTCTAGTTACGAAGCTCGCGGGGCGGCGGCCGGCCGGCCCGCGCGCGCGCGCCCGCGCTCGGTGCTCGGCCGGCGGCGACCTGGTTCCCCCTCCCGTCCCCCGTGTCCCCCCTCCCCTCGCGCAGCCGGATTGATCGGCGCAGCACGGAGCACATCGCACCGCACCGCTCGGCGGCGGCGCGACTTGCACCGCGGTCCGTTGGTCTAGGGGTATGATTCTCGCTTAGGGTGCGAGAGGTCCCGGGTTCAAATCCCGGACGGACCCTCTCTTTTGCGCCCTCCCTCCCACCACCCCACGCCCATAGCGCCTGCGAGCGCTGCCAGCGGAACTGGCGGGCGCGCTGGCAGGGCCGCGGGGATGGAAGACGGCGCAGCATAACGCTCGCGAAAATTTCATCATTTTCGCCCACCGTGCTGGCCCGGGCCTTTCTGGGCTAATTAGTAATAGGACGGTGGCTCCCGGGGCGCAGGGCTGCTGCAGCGAGTTGAGAGCGGCGGGCCCAGGGGCGGGCCGGCCGGCCGAGGAGGGGGAAGACCAAGAGTAATGTTGATAATTTGTCTGGCCGCATTGTTGCCACCCTCTCTAAGCCTTGCCGCCTCGTCTTAGTCTTATTGCTGTTGCTCTCGAGTTTTCGCGTCCTGTGTAGCGCATAGATGGATAGATGGCTGAATAACAGATGGATGGGTGGATGGATCGGAGCTGACGGCGGTGGCCCGGCGGCCGCGCGCCGCGCTTCTACTATAGCCGGCTGGCGCAGCCCCAAGAACCGCGAAGCTCGCGATGAGCGCGAAGAGGTGCAGAGCGGAGCAAGACGTAGTTGTGGATAGGATTGCTCTGAGGCGGTACCGCCTGCCAAACTCGACAGATGGCGATCGATATACACGTGTATCTCTCGCCTCGCTCGACGTATCGGCAGGCCCACTTGGCAAACAAAGAACCTCAACTTGCTCCGCGACGTAAAATAACCGAATGATGATATATTTTTTTCGCGGAGAGGCGGGGGTGTGCGGGGGGACGGAGAGCGCAGGAGAAGGGAGACGCGGGTCGCGAGGACGAAGCCGCGCTAATTCCGATTGGGCGGCCACCATCTGGTCCGGTCTGGCGCGGACTAATGCCGCCGTCGGGAAGACAGTGACGCGGCGCGCATCAGGTGCAGGTGCGGACCTGCCCCGCGGACCATCAAGGAAAGGAGTGGCGAGCTGGCGCTGGCGCTGGCGGGGCGGGCGTCTCACTATCGGCCCCGTCTAGGAGCTCGCCGTGTCCTCTGATGAATGGCAAGGAATTAGCCCATCAGCCTGTGCCGGCGCGAGGGATACGGGCGCGACCACCAATCCAACTGCGATACTCTGCTGCCACTCCACGGCGGTTCGCGAGCCACGCGGCGGGGGAGGGGGGTGGGTAGCAGCAGGTCGCGGACGGACATGCACGACGCCGCAACAGTGCATTACTGACGTCACATTTTTATTTTTTTGCAAGGATCAGGCTGCGACGCAAGAACGGATACAAGAGAAAATCGTGCACGCGGAAAAAGTTGTGTTTTTCGTGTACAGTACATGACTTAATGACTCCACTCCACCTCGGTCTCCTCCACGCTATCTCTGCCGCAGCCCCCGCCGTGCGGACGGCCGTGGCCGAGGCCGTGCCCATCAATCGCCCAACCACATCTGTTACTCACTGACGAGAAATGGCGGCCTCAGCCGAGGCCTCAGCCCCGCGCGGTGGTGGCCGCCCGCGGACGCCTACAAGGAGTGCGCGGGATACTTGGAAGGGAGGCGGTCCGTCTCTTCGGCGCGAGATCCGTCATGGGCGCGTGGCGTGGCGACGCGCGGGGCCGGGGCGGGGCGGGCCGCCGCGTGCGCGGACAGTGACGGATCAGCTGGCCCGCCCCCGCGCCGCCCCCGCGCCGCCCCCGCGCCGCCGCGTACACTTGCTGCCCGTCGTAATGATGGTAATATTTAATATCGCCTGCCCTCGCCGGTGCGGTTTGCGCGTAGTATTGTGCCGCGGGGCTGCTCGTCGGCGAGGAGGTGCGGGCGACGGACTCGGACACTGCGCGACCGGCACTGGGGCTCGGTCAGGCTGGTCAGGCCCGGCGCGCGGCAGGACTGCGGGGGTGGGGGCCGCGGAGGCCCGCGGTGCAGGTCCAGCCCCTTCCCTTTGGCTGGCCTAAAGGCTGGCCGGCCGCCAAGCAGCTCTACAGGTCCGACAGGGGAGAGCCGCGCGTCCGCGCCGTCGTCGCGTCCCCCTTGTCCGCGCAGAGGTGCGGCCCCGGCCGCAGCGCCCCCCCCCCCTGCCCCCCGCGTCCACTCCACCCCCTAATTCTGTTTACCTCTTCGAACAGCTGTGGTCAACGCGTTGACGTGAGCGCTAATGTGCCCCCTTCTCCGACCCCCTTCCACGCCCGAGTGGCCCCACAACCCACAACTTTGCTCTATTCTCGTGCGGCCGTCGGCAGCCATGTGGGTGGGGTGGCCGCCCGCTGGCCTTTCTGCCGGCCTCACGGTGCAGCGGCTCGCGGCCATTCATTCGTTTGTCGTGGGAAACGCGGTGAGAATTTCATTTTGCGGCGCCGCGGAGGATCACGATCTGGTGGCTGAGCGAATACTTTTTAGCAGATGATACCTTACAACCTTACACTTACATATCGAAACATAACTGTACATGAGTAATGTAAGGTGTCATTGCTTTTACTCTCGATTAAGAAATATTAAAGAGAACCAGAAGAAAGCTCATATACGTATT